TCTGCGGCTTGATAACTCTTTCTTCATTCTAAGTGATTCAGGCACAACCAAATTTTCACTTTTGTCATGGTGTGCATCATAAATGAAGTTGAGCACCGTTTCCTGCAAAAGTTGTCCACTATGCCAATCAGAACAAGGTTAAGGAAAACACATATATAATTAAAGCATTCACAGGCTATAGGGAAATAAGAACCGTGCACAAAGCCAAATCTTTGATTGACATAATAATATAGGAATAACAACTTGGGGTGGAAGCTACATCTTTCTCTACTGACAAATAATGGAAACAAATGAAAACAAAATTGGAAAACATACCAAGGGTTTGGAAGCATCAAGCCAGTGATAGATACTCTCGTTACGAAACCACGTCAATTGCCGTTTTGCAAAATTTCTGCACATGAATTTAACAAATTCTATTGAGGATTGTAATGTATGAGAATCTTGTAATCTCTACAAATCGTGTAGTTCTCCACTCCTCGCTCTATAAATACTTATAACTGAAATTTGCTTTTCCAGACAATATATTTTGCATCTGTTGTTGCTTATACAAGTTACAAACAATTTACATTGAAAATGTCTGAAAGCTTGGCAAAACATATTTCCTAGGCAATTATGGCTTTTGATACATAAATCTGAAGAGAAAATGCATTACCTAGAAGCTTTTTGAAATTCAGATAAAAAATTGAAGAACTCTCTTGGAGAGCTACCTCCTTGCTGCCTGCACATCAATAGATACTCCATTGCCTAAAATCAAATATTTCTTACTGTTACTACCTGTTGCACATAATAATTAAATGACAAAAAATGTTACATACATTTTAATGAAACAAAATCAGACAACCATTGCTTGAATATTTGAAAAATAATATAGGAATATCAGAGGTATACTTGTCTGTAACCAATTGCTCTGGTTGCTGAATTTGAATTTGGAAGAAGACCGCAATCAAGAAGCCATCTAGCCTCAGACAAGATACCATCACTTCCTACAGAAAATTCCCAAAAAAAAAAGAAAAAAGATTAGAGAGTGCGAGGGAGAGAGGGAGAGTACCCCTCTTTGAAATAATGATCCAAAAAGATCAGCATATGTAAAACTAATGAAATTGCCTGATTTGAGTTTGAAAACTCAAAGATGAATGATCAATTTGTAGTGTTGTGTCAAAGTACGATTTACCTGACAGCATATCTTCACATCGGCAGTCAATTGATCTATAAAGATCAACTCTTTTGCTTGAGAGGAAAAAGCAAATGAAATCATAGTCCAATTCCTTTGATTTTACTTCTTCCACAACATCAGTAGAAGGATTGATGTCATGTCTGTCAACTACACTAGAACCACATTGTTTCCGGAAAGAATCGTAGGGTACTTGAAATGCCGATGGAGGTGATCCACTAGACTGTCATTTCAGAACATGCATATAATTACATCCACCGTCAGTGAACTTGAAGGGGATAAGCTTCAAACAATGCAACTAAATAGTCAATATTGAGGCAAATTTATCAACAAAAATAGTGATATGCGGGCGTCTGTGTCTATGTTCAAGGAATGCATATACATCACAAACCAACCTTAATGATCTCAAGGCTGCGTCTTAATCGATACCAGTCATTGGCAGGCAAAAATTGAGCCTTTGGGTCACCTGCTTTGACCACTAACTGCACAGCTGCTTCCCAGTCTTCATTGTTCTGCAGATCCGCTAACTCGGAATACACTTCAGATGCAATATCTGGAGACGCTTTGGGAACATCTGGTTTTCCGTATATGAGCCTATGACAAAAAAAATGCTATTAATACAACCAAAAAGAAGGGAGAAAGAAAATGAAGGTTATTGCCCTTAATTACATAAATTTTTATTCAAATTCACCTCTAAGCAACCAAATTAAATGTTGCCAATATCATCAATCAATAAGCAGATGTCATTTCAAAAGCTATTAATATACATGGCAGGCTATTACATTAAGAGACCAGTTATGTTAATCTATACTCAACATTCTAGCTATAGACAGACCCAAAAAAACATACTAACTCTAAAACAAGAAGAAACAAAGATCAAAACTAGCATTTATGCACGAAGATATCGTCACATACCAGCGCAAGTACAATCCAGTGCCACCAGTAACTATGGGAACACGACCACTATCAAGAATAGATCTTGTAGCTTGCCTTGCATCCTCATAAAATTTTCCAACGGAATAGTCTGAAGAATAAAACATGTGTTGAATTGGAAGAACAGAAATATCCAAAGTTCCAAACCTAGCAGTAGAAAACTCAACATCATCCAAGCATCCCACAACCAAATTTCAATTATAGCCTCCAAATCCTAGAAGAGGAAGACATAATATGCTATGATACATTTCTATCTGCCCTTAAATTTAGTAGACAACACACCTTCAGATGGGTGCAAAATATCGACAAGATGATGCGGCACCTCCTGCATTAAAAGAAAGAAAAACAAAAAATAAGAATTATTATTATAACAAATTCACAAAAAAAAAAAACACAATTTTTTGGTCAAATTCCAGTTACAAAAAACAGACCAGTTGAGATTACACAGGGGGAAGTTGCCCAATCAATCATTAGCAGTAAAATTTAGTATCAGGTTAAACAAACCTACTTTGTAATTACACTAGTTTTGTTTTTCTTTGTTTTTGTTATATTTTGGATTAGCTAGAAACTTGCTGTTTTATCAATAGATGAAGTATTTCTTTTTTCCATGCAAAACTTCATTAGGACATAAAGGCTTCTACCTACATATGAAATTCTGCATTAATAATCAGACAAGCAGTCTATACAATAGACTTACTCCATATGAACTATTGAATTGCAGAGATAAAATTAAATGAGGATATTATGTGATTTATTAGAGAATATAATATGAATTGCTAGTGCTTGAAAGGTAAAAAATTCAAGTCAGAAATGGCAGAACAATACATCCACAACAATCATATTACAATTACTAAAATGTAAAATCTAAGCACGATATAACACCATAGATACAAAAATTAAAAGGTCAAAATGAAAAAAAAAACATAAAACTAATATGGCATACAATGCAACTGAAACCAACATAATCCAGAAGTCTATATTATCATAAATTAAATTTCAATGGTAGATGCATACACTAAATGTACAATTTTCTGAATTAGGCAAGCACCTGTCTATCACCTGGGGAAGGCTTCGCAGATCCAATATCAAGTCCCCGATATACCTGAGGCAACAAAGCCATACCAAACAAAATCACTTTAAGCAATATTGCACTGCCTGTAAAGTGTTATAAGCATAAACAAAAGGCAATCCAAACAAGGCAATGTTATATTGAAGGAGATTTGGATATTTTGAGATGTCTTCCATTTCGGTGCCCATAGTTATTTTATTGTGTATTTCCTGATGTTTATCATTTGTTTGGAATTTTTTACATCTCAGTTCCTTATCTAGATTATTGTGGCCTCTATAAACAGAAATTAGCATTACTCATTGAAGGCAAGCTTGATTATAACAATTCAAATTTTCAACTTAAGTAATTCAAATCTATTTGGTATAACACAGTGTCAACTTTCTTTTTGTCTATTAGTATCAGTAAGTAAAATGGTTTATGACTAAATACCCAATAAACCAAACTCTCCATACTTACAAATTAGTATCTCAAGAATACCCAACTAATGAACTAACCACTCTGCTGCTTACTTTGAAAGAAGCTACATTTTTCCATTTTCTTTCCCTTTTTTTTCTCAGCACCCAAACAGAGAACAACAAAAACCAACAACTGGGTATTGTGTGTTTGCTAAAACCTGAACAGAGTCGGCGCTGATAATCTCGCCATTGAGCCGCTTAGCAAGCTCCAAAGCCAGGCGGCTCTTCCCTGCTCCGGTGGGCCCAGATACGACTATCACCTTCTCCTTCTCTTTACTCTTGGTGGCTGAAACTGAGCACGCGGTGCTCAAACGTCGCCGGCGGATAGTGAAAGTCACCAGCGCAGCCGTCCGGAGGGCACGCTTCTTCGACGACGACGGGAGGCGCGGGCAAAATGTACGCACGCAACTACTACTGATAATCATGTTTTGGGTAGAGAGGGAGAAAGCTCAGAGAGGATTGGATTGGATTGTTTTTGTGCTTTGTTATTTTGTCCTTTCGGGTTTAGGGAGGGGTTTTGGGTATCAAGCTCAGAGTGTCTGTAGACACCAAAGAGGAAATGGATTAAGTGAGGTTATGGGGTTTTATGGGTTTTTTTGGGGTTCAGATATTTGTGCACCCTTTTCTCTGTGTCTTTTTTGTTTTGCTTTTTTCCATTTTTTTCAATTAACCTCTTTTTGTGTTTAGAGTTCTAGCACATACCGGTACATGGTATAATTTGTCTACATAAAAAATTATGAATTTTATTGTCTATCCATATTATAATACGGGAATGAATTGTACTTTAATGTTTTACAATAATTTCTCCCATTTCAGAAAGGTCTTTGCTCCAAGACCAATGCATAATTGATCATATGAAGGAAAAAAAACACTCTTATGACAAGAAGAGTACGATTTTGTTATTCCTAGCCAATAACATAATGACATGTAAAAAAGTTATTCCATATGTCATTGTGTTATTGGTGGAAATAGCAAACATTGCATGAGAGTTTCTCTCCATATGGAGGATATATACATGGTCAAAACAGAAGGGGCCTACAATCAACAACCACTGATGATGTGCTCCAACTTAGGGAGTTTAACATGCCACCTCTCTTCATCAATGAAAACTAATGATAATTGAAAAATAAAAAAATAACATAGTGGGAAGAAAATCACTTATGGCATCAAGAACATTGTTTACTATCTGAAGGCCCACATAGGAGTTCAAAAGAACAACAGCCTTATTTCAATTTAAAATGAGACATACCTAAAATTTTTGATCCTACCAACTGGTGGTTGCATGTGTCACTTCACCAAAAAGACTTAAAGTTCAAGGTACCCTGTTCAAATACTTCACCAAGAAAATGTCTTTTAGCAATCAAACATAAACCATAGCCATCATCTTCATCACCTCCCCCTAAATGACAAGGCACCAGCTCTCTCTTGACCGTCGAATCCAATCCCTCTTCCCGGTTGCGTTGGCTTCTCTGCTTGTCCTTGGGACTGCACGACTAGTCCTCGACGCCTTGAAGAGCAATGACAGCTTTGTCTTTCAGCTATATGGCAGGCCAAGAGGTCAACAACAGAGACCGGCAGTTGTTGTTTCCCCTGAGGACCGGATTGATGAAAGTTGCAATGTCTTTGAAGGGAAATGGGTGTGGGACAATGTGTCCCATCCTCACTATACAGAAGAGAGCTGTCCTTACTTGGTAAAACAAGTTACCTGCCAAAGAAATGGTAGGCCTGATTCTTACTATAAGAATTGGAGGTGGCAACCTAATGACTGCAACCTCCCAAGGTAAAAAGACTCTACACTTTTGCATGCATTCTAAATTCTAAGGGCACAATATGACAGTCCAAGAAAGAAACAATGAAGCAATAATCATTCTTAAAAGCAGAGTTTATGTGCTTTGAAAATTTCTTCGGAAAACATCACAAGAAGTGCTGATTTTCCTTTTTCTTTTTCGTTTTTCAAAGGTGGCCCATGAAATTATTCTGATTGTTTTTAATCTTGAAATTGGATTTTCACTGGGAAAAAAAGTGGACTTATTTCATGCCTACTTCATGTCAATTGGGCAAGAAACTTGTTTTCGAGCATTTTATATGGGATGTGGGTCGAACCATCTCATGTTTTTCAATTTTTTTTTTATAGTTAAGTGGCTTTGGCTTTGAATTCAGGTTTGATCCATTGAAGCTAATGCAGATTTTGAGGGGTAAAAGGCTGATGTTTGTTGGAGACTCTGTACAGAGAGGGCAGTTTGAATCCCTAGTCTGTATGGTTCAATCTATAATTCCTCAAGGAAAGAAATCTCTCCAAAGGGTCCCTCCCAGAAAGATCTTCAAAGTTGAGGTAAACATTCTACTGCCTGTAACTTAGACATTCCATATGCAAAATAACCTTCTCATTAGTGAGGCTTAAAGCTCATGTCTTAACACACTAACCCCACGCTTACGGTAAGAGTTCGACTCCCCCTCATGCTCTGTGTTCTACATTTTAAGGCAAACTCTTTTTTCCCTTTCCCAGGAGTTTGATGCATCCATTGAATACTACTGGGCTCCATTTATTGTGGAGTCGATTTCGGACCATGCAACAAAACATACTGTACTGAAACGGCTGGTGAAGCTAGACTCCATAGCTAAGCACGGAAAACACTGGGAAGGAGTAGATATCTTGGTGTTCGAGAGCTATGTATGGTGGATGCACAAGCCTACCATCAATGCTACGTGAGTGACATATTTGTAGGGAACCCCTATGTTATAATTTCATCGTTCTGATTTCAATTGGTTAACGCATTTCTAGCGACGTTCAATCATCCACTTTGTTGATGGTCCTGACTCCTGAATACAAATTTCATGGCCAAAATTTGTTGATCACCTCACGTTTAATGATAGCATAGACATAAATCGCTAGGCGAAAAACCATTGCAAAAGAAAATGGTGTTGCTGCTATGGAAACATTTAAGCCATTTGTATTTAAGTTAGTCTTGTTGAGTGAATTTTGAGATGAGAGTAGAGTAGGATTTGGGATTTGACGATGAATTATGTTTTGCTTGTCTTCCCCAGATATGGATCTCCTGATGTCCAAGAATATAACGTCACTACAGCATACAGACTGGCCTTACAAACTTGGGCAGAATGGTTGGAATCCAGCATCAACCCTGAGAGACAAAAGGTCTTCTTCATGAGTATGTCTCCAACGCATTTATGGTGAGTTTCACACTTCCACTCAAACATATTCAAAAAAGAAAACTGAAGTCCTAAAACCTTTCAACCCAAATGACAGCTAAATCCAAATGCTTCACAATTATGGAATAGTTACGTTAATCTGCGGGCCTAATTCAGACCGAGTTCATCAAACCTGCCGAATCCCATGAAAATAAAACTACTGCTTGCAAAAAGCTCTCTCCAAAGTCCTTAACTATTCCATAATCATGAAAGCATCATTGAAATTTCTTTTGTAGGAGTTGGGAATGGAAGGCTGGAAGTGATGAGAACTGCTTCAACGAGTCTTACCCAATTCAAGGTTCATATTGGGGTACCGGTTCAAACATGGAAATCATGGAAATGATACACGACCAAATACAGGATTTGAAAGTGAAGGTAACATTGTTGAATATTACCCAGTTGTCAGAGTACCGAAAAGACGCACATACATCAGTATATGGGGAACGCAAGGGGAAGCTCTTGACAAAGGAACAAAGATCTGATCCTAAAAATTTTGCTGATTGCATTCACTGGTGCCTACCTGGGGTTCCTGATACATGGAATGAGATTTTGTATGCACATTTGTTAAAGAGCCATCAAAATCTTTTGTAAGTTGAATTTAACAGTTGAGCCTTGGATAAAATCTACGAGAGGTACATTTGTACGTTAATATTGAGGATCAATAGTGCAGCATTTTGCGAGGAAGAAGAAAAGGAAGTGACACCTGCAACGGAACTTGTATTTAATTTAACACTTGTGGTCTTCTTTTTCTTTTCTTCAACCGAAAAACAACTTTATTTTGGTGACCATAGACGTATAAAATCCGTAACTCTTTTGTTGTTCTTCAACCAGCAAACAACTTTAATTTGGTGAGAGAAGATAAAATCCACGCACCATAAGGGTATCACAGTATAGCAGCTTTCTCTCAGAAAGAAACAAATACCGACCAGATAGAACTCGATACTATAAGGTTAACTTCTTTATTTTGTGTATTTCAACAACGAAATAGTGGCATCATCCACAATCATAAATCTTCGGTATGGTATTATTTCCAACATATTTACCTGCAAAGGCAAGCAGCCTTGTAACCAATCCAATTATTTACAGGGAAGCGTTAATTTACTTAAAGGAGCTCCCATTCAGAGTCGCAGGCATCATGAGTTTGCAAATTTTTCATGTTAGAGAGTGTTTCTTGGCTGGAATTTATATCAGTGTCCCCAAACCAAATTGCTAGCTGTTCGTATTCCTTTGTCAGCCTCTTCTTTGATGTAAAAGCATCCTGGATTCTTTTCTGTATACAACAAAGCAAATGAAAAATTGATACAGTCAGGCTCATCATGCTAATGAGGCACATAAGTTGTTGATACAGTTTCACATTTCTGATGGCATCACCTTCAAGCAACATGTTTAGTTTCTTTTCTGTACAAGAAATTTATTTATATATGAAAAATTGATAAATCATTGATTCTCAGCAAAGTTCAGATCTGTGACTGCAATCTAAATCTTTATTATGCAAATAGGAGATTGAATACATTCTTAACCTACTCTGGACAGACCATTAGCAGGCATTGCCATTGAAGGAAGGAACCTTTCCCACAGTCAACCTTCAATTGCCCACTAAACCTAATTATTCCTATTTAGTGATAGAAGAGTGGAAATAAATTGTATTTTTCCCTTGAAAAAAAAAATTAGAACTCCAGGATTTGTTCCTGAAACTAGGCCGGATTCTGGAAAGTCCGGGGCCAGAGTTGAGATGTGCAGTATACACTAATCCTCCTTTGCAGAAAGTCAATTTTTTAACATGGAAAGTCATGGTAAAGAACCCTCTGCTATTATAGCCTTCAGCTTCTCTTTCCTAACATGCCCTCTGGAATTGTGACTTCTAACTAAGACTATGTAAGAACACTTCAAACACGAAACAGAGAATGCCACCATCATGTTAATATTCATAACAAATGCAATATGCAGAACCTTTCTAAAACAACATTTCCTTTACCTAAACAGAAAGGGAGGATTGGAGAAGTGGAAGGAATACCTTGTATGATCTTAGCTTTCTTGTTCTGCAAGAGATAGCATGTAGTACGCTATCGTCTACAATGACACAGCTCTCCTCAAGCATCACCTTATCATGCAAATCAATGGTTTCCATGCTAGAGTGAGAAAAATCACAACTTGATTCATCTGAAAGGCCTGTAAACACTTTGCAAGATTAGAGAGGTAGCATCCAAAACACATCACAGAAAGCAGATGCAAGGGACAGTTATGGTTTAAAATAGTTCCCTCAGTTGCCAAGTATACCAATGTGCAATATAGCACAAAGAGGGCACTTCAGTCGTAGAGTCGAAATACCAAAATAAAATCATGGCCAGCATTGTTATATATTGAAACATCATTATGAACTCTGTTCTGCATCTCAAGTATGTCACAAAGAAGGGTCAGGTCCAATTTGACATTCTTATTCATACTTGTGCATGTTAAAGGTGCATTGCAATCTTCTTCATCAAATCTCATGTGGTTAGCCATGAAAAAATGAGGTTGTATAACATAAATAGACTCCTAATAGAAGTGGTTAGGACTATGATGTTACAAATTACTTTTACTAAAGGATTCTGGGCTTATAGCTTGTTATGTTATTAATCAGATTCCCTCCTCAGTTTAGAAACTTCAGGAATCTAATTGCTTGAAATGAAACTCAAAGAGGAATAAAATGAGGAAACAAACATTTAAGTTGGAAAACAAAATGGGGCAAATCTAGATCACTTAAAAGATAATACTTAGCATTAAGGTTCTGCAAGATTGAAACATAAGAATTATTATCTCATCACTATTGTTGTTACTACAATAAAAATCCAAATAAATGAAGACTCCAGACTTTGGCCGATGGGGTTTCAAAGGTGAGAGATGAGAGAGGAAATAAATTAAAGTGCCGCATATGCATTCTAGAACATACCAATATCTGAAAAGGAATTAAGAGCATCAACAGACTCGCAGATCTGAACTTGCTGTTTTCCAGATGGTACTGTCAGAGGCAGGGTCAACGTAATTCTGGAAGTGCCTTCTTCTGTAAAATATATAAGTTAATGAATGCCCGTTGTCTAAGAAAAAACAAGAATACTTCTACAATGAGAGAACCAAAAATACTAACCAACTGGTTCCTGTGATAGGACACCTCTGAATGAAGAAAGTCCCATATCCACATCCTTAATTTTACCGGACACAGTTAACGGTGAAGCAGATGTTGGGATCTCATTAGAAACATCAGAAACACACCCAGTCACCTCAACATAATTATGAGAAAACATTGCTTCCAGGGATAAGTTTTCAGGTGAACATTCAAAGAGCCTAAGTGATTCCTTTGCATTACAGCTGCTGAAGGGTGCAATTCCCATCTCCGCTATAGTATCCTCCCCAGATACATCTGAAAAGACCATTTTAGTAGTAGTATTTGAAGCACCAGAAACATTCAAAATTTCATCTGAACAAACAGTATATTTTTGCTGGGATTCAAACTCCAATCCATGTGCTGGGGATATAGGTGCAACCTCAGGCAAAAAAGTATGCCTATTTTCATAATTACTGTGAGCAAATACCTGAAATGGTGACTCTGTAAAGTGTTCTGACACAACAGGAGAAGTTAAATCCAGCATTTTTATGGAAATTTCTTCATTATTTGCATCTGAGTTTTCATTTGTCAAATTATCATCAATCTTCCCCACAGACAAGTCAGACTCTGACACCCCAAGAGTATTTATGGAAGTTGGAGAACTAAGTTGATCTGCAAGGTGATATTTAGAAGAGACAAGACTCAGCTGGTTTGCCACATGATCCATTATACTGGGCTCTGTAGGTGATTGATTTTTAGTTGCATCTAAAGAAATTCCATTTGTCAAAACTTCATCAATCTTTCTCGCAGAAAAGTCGGACTCAGACACCTCAAGTGTATCCATTGAAATTGGAGCACTTTGTTGATCTGCAATGTGACATTCACAAGAGATGAGACTCGGCTGGTTTGTCACAGGATCCATTACATTGGGCTCTGGTGGTGATTGATTTTCTGTTGCATCTAAAGACTCTTGATTTTCTACTGAAAAGTAAGCCTCCGAAAGCACAAGAGTATCCATTGAAGTTGGAGAATAAGGTTGATCTGCAAGGTAAAATTTACTAGAGCCAAGACTCAGCTGGTTTGTCACAGGATCCATTACATAGCACTCTGTAGGTGATTCTTCTGTTGCATCTAAAGACTTTTCATTTGTCAAAACTTCATCTATCTTTTCCACAGACAAGTCGTACTCTGACAGCTCAAGAGTATCCATTGAAGTTGGAGAACTAGGTTGATCTGCCAGTTGATATTTACAAGACACAGTACTCAGCTGGTTTGTCACAGGATCCATTACATGGGGCTCTGAAGGTGATTTCATTTCAGTTGCACCTAAAGAATTTTCATTTGAAAAAACTTCATGAATCTTTCCCACAGTTACGTCGGACTCTGACACCTCAGAACTATCCATTGATGTTGGAGAGCTAGGTTGATCTGCAAGGAAATATTTACTAGAGACAAGACTCGGCTGGTTTATCACAGGATCCATTACATTGGGCTCTGCAGGTGATTGCTTTTCAATTTCATCCGAAGAATTTTCCTCCAAGTCTTCCCTTGACTTAGTACTAATGGCAGAATTATATGTAATAGCCACCTCTTGAGCATCATGATTAACAGGATTCCCTAAAGGAGGAATTAAATCTTGGACGACATCAGAACAGAGTTTCTTCACACTTTTGCCCACTGTCTGCACCTGGTTTTCGACATATTTAATTGTATCCTGTGAAAGAAATCATTCAATATTACGAGAGGAATTGATAGCTGCAGTCACTAGTTAGCAGCAGCAACAAAATTAATTGAAGTCCAGAAGCACTTAAGACCCTTTTTTTTGGGTTTTTTTTTTCTTTCATTATTACCTGATTCACAATATCATCCACCTCCTGGCAGATTGCTTCAAATTTCTGGTAAATGTTTCCAACCCAATTCATACCTTTGAGTTTTTTTAAATCCATGATGAATTCTGAACTTCACCTACAGCCAGTCAAATGATATTCTCTTTAATGGTTTGCATTACCCAGAGAGGACAGTACAAGTTAACATCCCAGCGCAAGAAACACAATAGCAACTAATAGCCATCAAATTGACTAGTTTGAACGTCTTAAAACATAAAGGTTATACTCTCACCAAAAAATATACATTCAATCCCAAGAAAGTTTCAGTGTCCTCCAAGGCTTTGTATAGAATGTCACAGTATATGAAATACAAAGGGTTTGGTAGAGTTTTACAAGTACTAGCACCATACGTTCACATTAAGTAACAGATTGCAAATTTTTCAAGTATTATCAGAACTGTGCACAAAAGTTCACAAAAGGCTAAGGTACAGGTTATGGGAAGCATCATAACTGCATAAAATGGAATACCACAAACTATAGGAGACAGAATCACCACATACGATATTTTGAAGTCAAACCAACTAGAAAATAGAATAAAAGTAAACACTAAACCTGATGGTGAATAAATGCATGAAACGATCAATCAATAAACCAAATTATTTATGATGGAAATAAAAAGAATAAAAAATGAAAACTCAGAAAAATGTAATGAGATTGGATGTACAGAAATAGGAAATCAAGGTCTACACCAACCACTTAAAGGAATTGAGGGTTAGCATTCTGGAGAACACAGTGAACCGAAAATATCCACGGTAACCATCACCACCGAGATTGTATGTGTGTATATCTATTTGAGGATCATTATTTTGTAGAATAAATATATAAAATACTTGTTCATATACCACACAACAGTAAAAACATGCAGGGGGGAATCAAACACTCTCATAATCGTGCTATTCGATTTCTTCGATTTCAAAGTTCCCAAGTTCAAGAAGTTTGCCTGTTCACTAGCTCTTCAACCAAAAAAAAAAAAAAAAAAAAAAAAAAAAAAAAATATATATATATATACACACACGGCGTAAATTATGTGCTGTCACAATTGTGCTATATATATATATATATGCGGCCTCCATCAATTAACCCAGAACAAAAGCAGAGTTTTTCAAACATAAATTACGTACTGTCACAATTAGGCGATCAATTTAACTTGATCATACTCTCTGGCAATCATAAAATTCAACCTCAGTACCCCAATGCATGCTTCAATTAAATCATTGTCAAAAAATTTATAATAAAAAAACTGTAGCCTTCTGAATACATAAAAAGATACAGAGATACACAAACTTAATTACTATAGCTCGGAAAAAGAAAAACTTTTTCCAAAATAAGAATATGATCAACCAAAAAGAAAAAAAAAATTGAGTGAAAAAGAGACGTAATTTGAATGAAGAAGAGAGAGAAAAACAGCAGCACGAGGAGGAGGACGATGGAGAGGAGATGAATTACCGGAAAGCTGTAGCCTGTGGTGTGACCAGTAAGCTGAGTTGAACTTGGACCTTTGGTTATGGCGGAGAGAGAGAGAGAGAGAGAGAGAGAGAGAGGTTTAGGAAGAAGGGCTGTGGGCAGGGTTTTAAGAACCTCTTTCTTATGTTAATTACTCAAATAATACTTTGTTAAAAATTACAAAACATAAGTAGGTATAATTTTAGTCCGACTAAACTTCTAAAGAGTTTTTTTAATTTTTTTTTTGATAAGGTTTATAGAGATATAGGAAAAGTTACAAGACAATGACCAAAAGTTTATTGATCCCATTATTGTATGCATTATAACATTTTGTTTTCCTTTTCACTATAATTTGATCTGAAAATATTTAAATTGAAAGTGACTTTTAATTAGTACTCAATAATTGAGAGTAAGCTTTGAAGATTATGCTATTGTCCATGCCTTTCACATTTGTGGTTCGGATAGTTTTTTTGCTATCTTTTGTACTGTTGTAGAGTGCTTCTATTTTATAGAGCATCTGCTCCAACAAAAAATATGTAAAATAATTGAGGCTAATGGATGTATAAGTTGTACGACTTCACTTTTATTTGTGGAGAGGCTCGCCTAATCCTTTAAGCCTTAATCCACTTTTGTTTATGTTAGTTCTCTTCATGGAATAAAATCTGTGGCTTTCTATAAATATAAAAGAAATAATTGATTTGAAATTAAAAATTGGAAGTATCATCTTCTTGGCTTCATACAGAACTTGTGAAGTTTCAACATGAATTAAACAAGAACCAAATTCTGCGGCACGGTTAGCATAAAGTCTTCAACTCATGAACGTGAAGAACCAAATTAAAAAAAAATATTTTGCATAAACCTTGGACTGGTGTAGCCTTTGTAAGTCCACTTGAATTAAAAGCCATAACCTCTAACGAATCTGATTCCGTTATGACTATGAATTAACAGTTTATTCTGTTTATGTTGACAGATTACAACCTGATAACAAGGTGTTTATAAAAAATAACAAGGCTTATATGTCCCCTTGTTAATTAAAAAATATCATAATTTCCAAAGAATATTAAAGAATAAAAAGGGGTGTTAGTCGCCTGAATTTTAGGTGTGCTTCCAAATGATCTTGGCTTCAAATTGTGCATATGCATGTGAGTTCCCCACCCCCTTCTCCTAACTCGGGCCAAAAAATATATATTTGTTTTGGGATTTTGCATAGAACCTAAAGATTTAAGAGTTAGAAAGAAATAATTGGCATGGCTAGCATGATATGTCCTGTTCTATCAATTTCTGAATTGAATGAAAAGTTGAGGTCAAGTAACTTAAATTAAAGAAATTTTGGAAAGGCTGGAGTTGGACTAGTTGATTGTGTTCGTGTTCTTGTACTCAAGTTCGATCCCCTACTAAAAAAAATATTAATTACTAAAAAGAGAAAAAGACATTTTGGGATAGCCATTACTCTTTTTTTTGGGGGGGGTGGGGGGTGTCAATTCTTAATTGAACAGGCACATTTATGATGTCATGATTAGATATTATACACGACTATGCCAACTTGAAGCAGCTGAGTTGAGTTGAGGCCAACTAAATTGGCTTTCAAGTTTCCACATACTTATCCAAGTCGCCAATTGATGACAAAATCCACGTCATAAATAAAACAAAGGCACCAAGAATAAAGTAGGATATATTGATTCTCCATTCACTTTTCATTAACTTTTTATTGGTCACGTACAGAGGGTATTTTCAATTTTAACATCAAAGGATTTCACTTTAGAGTTGGAGATGTCAAATACCAAACATCAAATTTAAATTTGATGACTGATGTAGCAATTTGACATTTACACAGTTTTACACTCCACCTAATATATCAAATAAATAATTATTGTAACAATCATATCATTTAAGATAAATAAGAAAAGAAGAAAAAGAAAATAATAAATGAAAATAACAGCTAACTATCTTTTAAAAATAATAAAATATTTGTTTGATATCTTGCTTTTGAGATGTCAAAAATAACATTTCAACCTTCAGCCTTCATTCCATATCAGCTTTGACACATTAATTGGAGTTATGTAAGATGTTATTTCTAGCCGTTAAATATCTATGTAGCACTTTTAACACATTAGTTGGAGATGCTCTTATACAACTTTCAACACAGAGCGCCCAGCATCATTTATCCGAAAGGAAAGCATGAAACATGATGCCTTTGGCAGCCACCATTCGACATAGTTTTTAGGCATTGGGAGCTTCAATGCAGCAAATGTCATCTGCATCCCGATAACCATTCTGCCGGTCGGTCATCTGGCGTTAACACAATTTCCCTCCTTACATCACTTGTGGCCCTCGAATTGAACACCACCCTCAACACCAAAAACTCACTCGCAGTGAACCAAAAAAAAAAAAAAAGGGTAACAACTCAAAATTTCAGAAAATCAAGCGTATATAATGCAATGGTTGTCAGCCACCATGTACAAGAACACACGGAAGACATGAAGAACCACAGAAACATGCACATCCAGCCACTAATTGAATAACAGCACACAAAGAATCAAGACATCATACAGAACTAAATGTCTGAAATTGTGCAACTTGCATATTTATCTATCATACTAAAAACAACTAGAAACCCAGCAACATCTAGTCGACCCATTTTTCACTCAACGCATTACCACAATCATTCAATTTAAAAGAAATTCAGCTTACAGCCACAGCAAAAAGTCAAGGCAAACTTCTAATAATGATGGCGACCACTTCAATACTTATTTTACATTTCCTAGAGATGTCAAGAACACTATTTTCCCGACAAAGCTAGGGAATTTAGCATAGGATACGAGACAAACCACATTTTTTTTCATTTTGTGGGGGAAATTCAACCCTCCAAACTCAAAAAAGAAAGAAACAGAATAAAGAAGTACAGGCCAAAGAAAGCCATATTAGTCTAGTGGTATTTCCCTCCACCTTATTAGAAGAGGTTCAAAGTTCGAAATTTGATAAGATTAAAAAACTGTGTAACTAGGAAATCCAACACATCCACGTAGGGACGCTGATAGCTCAGTCACGAAAGAGCATATAATTCTTAGGAGGTCATTCCATATCTATTGGAACCAGGAAAGAGCAAAGACTGAAACCTGCCTAAAAAACAGCAGATATAGCTCAACCATAAGTCACAATAAATGTAAATGAGTATGTCAGTCAACCTACACCAAACAATCTAAAAATAAATAATAAAAAAAGGAAAGGAGAAAGCTACATCATCACACTGGATACAATGGATAGACCAACAGTGTCAAAATCGCTGCACTAGAGGATAACTACATAGAAATTGAACTGAGATGCAGCACAAGGTCTACTAAGAAATCAAAAAACCATGATAGACCAAAAAGCTGTCATATAAAAAACTAAGCAGAAACAACACAATGCGCAAAGCTGGCCCTCTCACCCACCCATCCCCTTAAAAAATAAAAATAAAAATATTCATGTCCATAAACAAATGAACACCTCCCAACAATCAACCAAAAACCTCCTCTCAAATTGAGAAACACCACATGAACCAAAACATAATAAACCGTCCATCAAAACTCAATTGCAGTCAATGCTACACTCACTTTCAGAAAGTCCAACAAAGACAGCTAATCATAAAGGCTTGATGTATGTTCTGTCATTTTCACAATCAAGATTTCTACTGTCACCAACACAACAGAGCTTTTTAGTCAACAACCAGAAGCCTACTATGTTCCACTGCAACAATATTACCACAAAATATAAGCAATGTCTATACAAAAATATACATATCACACAACGCTAATCTTGACCTCCTCTGATGAATAATCAAACCCTTAGATATTTATCAAAGTATAAACATAGAGGCGAAATGAAACCTCACAACGAATAAAAGAACAAACTCGCGAATAAACACACTGCAGTTATAGAGACAATATGGTCAAGACATCTGATAAATAGGAAACCAAAATTCCTTCATTGGGTTTAAAAACCAACGGAAAACAATTACGCTTGTTCATAAAAAATATGGGTAGGGAATAACCTCACCAGCAGAATCAGAACCATGTACATTTAAGATTGTTACATGTGTGCGCATTTCTAATACAAATATAACAGCAGTAATAAACTAGGTAGCAGCCACCTTGAAGAGCTCCATAAAAACAAAGTCACACCAATAATCAAATAAACATGTCAGCGAAACAACGGCCATACATATTTTCTCGATGTAGAAGAAAATGTAAATCTGCAATTATAAAAACAAAACTATACTTTATATTGAAAAAAACATAACTCACATAACACATCAGTACCTGACAGAATACAAAAGACTAATCTAATTTAGTCACTTTGGCTACCACAACTCAGAAACAACCTACATCTTAAAAGGTTCAGATGATGTGAGGAAGAGGCGATAAAAGCACAGCTAATACAATCATCAAACCAGAGCATATATCTGCAATCACGCAATCACCAGAACCAGATAAAGCATCAGCGCCCAACAAGCGGTCATACACCTGAATCAAACATCCATCAACAACTCAATCCATCACTCAATTGAACCATAAAGCACGCAAACAGCTCCACTCAACAACCATGCAAAACAGAGTTCACGCAACTTGAAATAAATAACCAAAACAGCACACAAAGCATAGCAACAGCTCATGTGTTACCCAATTTTTTTTGAAAACAGTGGTAAAACAAGAGAGAACAACCAAGCTGAGAAATGCAGACATTAATGACAAGAAAAACCAAAAATGCCCAAAAACAAATTTATGGCACAATCAAATCAAATTTCTGAAAATGACTTCTATCGTCTTACAACAGGCTACAAATATGTAACAGCATATTAAAGGGGCATAATAGTGACATTTACAATAAAGAGTTGGCTCCCATCAATCAAAATCAATTTGATGGTTTAATGCAGAACTTGAGCCCAAGCCAGAGTTTCCATCCAACAAGTACATTTTCATCATATAAATGTGTGCATTGAGAATACATTAAAAAGGAAAGCAGCAGCATAATCCCACTACTTTATTAACCCTTCAACTAAATTGTATCACTAAAGATCAACCCATACAATTTCAACTACATTAGCCTCAATGTCTAAAGCCAAAATTCATATGTCACCTCCAAATTATTCAATCACAGTTCACATCTGAAACCTTTTTATATTTATTCAAGAATACTTATACCGAGAGACACTCAAAGAATGGGATGAAAACTACACAATGAGAAAACTCCAACCCCACACAAAGCTCATGAGGCATGTAATACCATGATCACCACATTTGAACGTAAAATTATGTTACGATGTTGAATCAATCCCATCACATCCCAAATGAAAACTATACCACCAGACACAAGAAGAAAAGCATCCCCCAGCGTCCCAGAAAGAGAGACATTTGGGACCTCAATACAAATTAATTTAAAATAAAATGTGCACGCAACCTCATCCATACTCGAACAAAATCACTGAACAAAAATGTTTGACAACACAAATCAACAGAACAAAGCATCTCTTAAAGACCCAGCATCCCAACATCCCTACAATCATCCATATGTAAGAGGTAAAAAGTACAAATGAATGCAGCATCCAGTTTTATGAAATACATTAGTTAAGTAAAAGAAGCAAACACTACAATAACAGAAATATGTACTTCAACTATCACAGACTAAAACAATAAGCATTGTGAAACTCATTAAAACTCAAACTCAGTCATACGAGCTTACCAGAAATTAAAACATTGGTTAATATAGGCACAAGACAGGCTACATGCTCCTCCTTTTTATGTTTTTTTTTTTGACGAATTAGATTCAGTTGGCAACTCCATTGGTTTTGGTTGTTTACTACATATGATCTAACAAGATAGATTATAACATAACTGTTACATATTTTATCTTATAATTATGCTCAGATTGAAACTTTAGAGGCAACACTAGGAGGATAGGATACAGAGAAGTGCATAAAAAAATTTGACACAAAAAACAAACACTCATAACAAAAGAAGGCAAAGAAAAGAGAAATACTACAACCAAGGGAAAAATTATGCAAAAAGAACACTCTTCGCAACAAAACCAAAGTGAATTTCAACAGTCACAAAGACAAGGAAATTCACAAACAGAGACGCCATGGATCCTAGGCAAGGCACGTGTAACAAAGAACAAATGCAAGAACTGACGCAAAGGAACCATTATAAAGCAACAACCACGCAAGCCACAATGCACAGTGATCCTAACAAAGACCAAATAATGCCAAAAAAAATCACTAGCACAGAATTAAAGCAACGAAAATACCTCAGTAATAAGGTGGCACATTCGGGTACATCCCCCCTGGCGGAACCCTAGGCATGGGTGATGTTCCAGCTTGCTGGTGGTGCTGATTCTGATAGGACGACAAGCCGTAGTGCCCGCTCTCTGGGAACCTACTAGAGGGCAACCCAGCTGAACTTGGCGCCAATCCATACAAAGACGACCCAGTACCCACACCGCCACCGGGAGCTCCACCACCAGACGCAGCACCACCAAGTCCACCACCAGCTCCACCCAACCCACCAGCGCCACCTAAACCATAACCCACCGAACCAGGCCCGCCGTAATTACCATAAGGCCCACCCAACCCGGCCCCATACCCACCACCAGCACCCAAACCCGAATTCACCTGATTTCCAACAGACGACAGCCCGGGGCCACCTAATGGATGATGACCCAACGGAGGTGGGCCCTGGTGCCCACTGGAAAACCCACCATACGACCCAATCCCACCGGGCCCGCCATACTGCCCGGCAATCGAAGACGGTTGTGCCATCCCCATACCGTCCCCGTGCGCATTAGGGCCACTCCCAGGTCCTTGACCCTGACCGGGCCCGTCTGGCTTGCCCTTCTTCCCATCAATCGCCAATTTACAAGTCAATTGCCTCCCCTCGATGTTCTTCACCGGATCGACCAGCGCAGCCTGAGCGCCCTCTGGAGTCTTATACACAAACAGCGCGTACCCTTTGCACTTCCCAGTCTGCTTGTCAAACCCTAGCGGCCCCTCCTCTATCTCCCCATAGAAAGAAAAATGCGCCAAGAGCTTATCCGCCGGCATGTCGTACGGCACATTGGCTACATAAATCTTCCGCAACGACACGTCGGCTGCGTTGTTGGAGCTGACATTGGAGCTCGAATTCCCTGCGGCCGCGAGCTGAGTCACGGTCATGCGACCGTCGATCTTCTTGCTCGGCTCTTTTAGGGCTAAGAGAGCGCCGTCGACGTGTCTAAATGTGACGAAGCCGTAGCCCCTGGATTTTCCGGTGACCTTATCGAGGATGACGATGGCCTCCTCGAGCTCGCCGTAGGCGGAGAACAGAGCGCGGAGGCCCTCGGTGGTGGTGTCCCAGCCGAGGCCTCGGATGAAGAGCTTGCGCTGCGAGGCGTCGAGATCGGCGATCGATCGGACGGCGTCAAGGACGTCCACGTGGCGGGTGACGGCGTCTTGGAGAATGTCGATGAGTTGATCGGGGTTGAATCGCTCAATGAGCTTGCGAGCGTCTTCGGGGGAGAGTTTAGGGATGGAGGAGGGGTCGGTGTCCAGAACGACGCCGTTCTCGTCCAGCTTTCGCTTCTTAGATGGATCCATTGGGAGAGAGAGAGGAGAAGATAAACCCTAACCCTTTGATGAGAAACAGAGAGGGAGGGTTGTGAATCTTGTGACTGCGTATTCGGAGGGGTTTGCCTTGATTCTTCTGTGTGGTCCCCTTTTATATATTGGTTTGCACAAGGGATGGGCCGCCGTCAAAGAGAGGCGTTAGGTATGTTGGGCTTCTTAAGAGCCCAAATCGATATAACTTGCTCTCTTTAACTTTACTTGTTGTAATGGCCCATCAGCCCATCATCATTACAACGAGCCTCTTTCGAGTCCAATTTCCCATTTCCTAAGCTCAATGGGAGCATTGTTGGCCAATTCCCTGATATCTTTAACATCTAGGGCTAGTGATTGATTAACACGGTACTGGAACTTGGTTTGTAAGATGTCGTGAGTTTATTCTTGATGAGATCTCGTTCTCTAGTTCTTTACTGGTTTCAAAGTGCATGGTGTGACTGCACTTATACAGTTGTTTCTCTCTTGATGAAATTTATTTTTATGTGTTTGTTTCTCTCGTGTTCATGTTTTGTCTCCCTTTAAATGGTAAGGCCATAATTTTTGTCCACATTATTAAACAACATAATGTATAAATTTAGTCCACATTATCATGGGAGACGAGCACATGTGCGACTCATGTTAGCAAAATCTGTATGGTATATATATTTGGGCCAAGGCCCAAGCCGTTTTGTTTTGTCGGAAGGGCGGGTACCAATTGAAAGCTCTAAAATCCGCGTTTTTTTGCGAAACGGGTCTGGTTTGCCTGCACCCTCGTCTCCCTTATCTTCCACCTTGAAATGCCGTTCTTTCACCTGTAAGTTGGCTCTTCTCTCTCTCTCTCTCTCTCTCTCTCCAGAAGATTAACGCATTTCTTGAAAACGGTTTCCTCCACATTATGTTTCTCTTCTTGCCTATTTTCTCAATCACCTCCAAAAATTGAGACTTTAAAAGAAATTAGAGGAAAAGCAAAGATTGTGAATGCTTCAGTCTAGTTTTATACTTTTCCTGTTTTGTATTCTTAATTGATTATTCCCTTATGAAAATGAAAATGAAAGCAAAAAAAGGAAGGGAGGGGGGGGGGGGGGGGGGGGGGGAGGAGGGGAGGGAGGGGAGGGGGGAGGGAGAGAGAGAGAGAGAGAGAGAGAGAAGGGAGGGAGAGAAAGCTCGTGGAGTTTAGGGGTTGGTGGGGTGAATATAAAGATGCGTGTGCATGAGAATCAGTGGGTTTGGTTTTGCTAAAACCACCCACGCACTGTCCAGGTTATGAATCGATCGATGGCAGTTTTTTTCACGGCAGTTTTTGTACATTTTCTGACCTCAGTGCAGATTTGGTGTGTGCTATATAATTGGGTTTATATGCAAATGTCAGAAATTTGCATCAGAAATGAGGTTTCCTAGGTGATATTAGTGGTGACATATGCAATACTGATAATTGAAAAGAGTGGTCAATGTTCAAAGGATTGTTCTACTGCTAGCATGAAGATTTGAGTTCAAATCCCTAGTGCGGCTGGTTCTATTTAGCAATGCTAAGTTCAATTGGGTGATTTCATCATGCAATTAACATGAAGTTTATCAATTTGCATACTTGCTGAGTAGCTGGCAATGCTTAGGGTGGGAAATTGTCACACAGTCGATGTTTTTATATTTCATCAAACTGAGTTGTTACCAGTACAGTTATTCTACAAGTAAAGTTGCCGCTCAGGTTTCTGTTCCTCATTTCAACAACACTTCTACGATGGCTATGTAATAAAATACCAACCATGTTGGCATTCTGGTGAAGTTCTTGGACAAATGGTCTCGCATGTAGTTAGTATTTGTCCCTTGTATGCATGATAATTTGCTTGGTCGATTTAAAAGTCCATGCATATGGAGGGTTTGCATCTGATTAATACTGTGGTAGAGTTATTTCTCTCCTGCATGTATGGTGCATTTATTATTAAGTGATTTATATACACATATGTATGTTTGCATTGATATATAGGTTGATAATTTTAATAAATGAAACCGGCTTCAGATTGATCTGGAATTTGTATAACCACCGTCCTGATATCACATTTTTGAGTTTCTGTCAGGAGATTGACTGCTTCACACTCAACTCTCAATCATGTTCCGCTGTTTGGTTATGTGGTGGAGCCCACTCACTTCCCACAGAACACACAGCATTTGAATTATCATTTACCTGTTTTGAAGAATTGGCCTCCCTTGTATACTTTTGTTCATTCATTCCCTAGATTTCATTCTTTGGGAAACATGCACATCAGTGCTGACATGGCTGAGAAATTTGATATTCTCAATGTCTGCCATTCTATACTTGGCATGAATTCATATGAGAAGCAAAGCTCGATCGGGGAGGTTCAATCAATGCATCATACTGACTCTCCAGACAGTATTAGCAAGGAAGAGAAGGAAAGACAGAGACGAAAAAAAATAGGACTAGCCAACAAAGGGAGAGTACCATGGAACAAAGGCAGGAAACATAGTTCGGGTAACTAGAGATAGAGTGTAATTTTTTTTTTATTGGATTTTAAATCTCATACATTTGGTTGAATCTAAAGTTGCGATCTTGCATGTAATGCAGAGACTTGTGAGCGAATCAAACAGAGAACAATAGAAGCCTTAAAAGACCCCAAGGTGAAGTCATGTAAGATACAATAAGTTTTATGATATTTTCTTCACGATATGGGTCTTTTTGAATTAGAATGTAAGAGTTTATATCAAAAGGTGAAATAACAGAATTGTTTTGAAAATGGTTGGAAGTTTGTCAATCATATTTTTGGATTCCCTTTTCAGTTGAAAGCACTACACAACTCATGTAAGGAGAAAAGAAAAAGGCTTTCATTTTTCAATCAGCTGTTTTTTTAATTAAACAATTGCTCTTTCGTTCACCCTCAATTGGTTTCAGGTTAGAAAGAAGATGTCTGAGCATCCCCGGCCTCATAGGTACACTCACAATCTTTGTCAGATATAATTAATTAGCTGTGAAACATAAGAACTTTGTTTTTCTGTGACAGAAACAAAAGAACTTTATAAATTAATTAGCTGGGTTGTCGTTTTCAAATACCAAGAGGTAGGTTTCTGCTTTGACTGAGTGGAAAGTAAATTGTAGTTTACAACCCAATGTCAAGTTAGTTATATGCACAGAGATGGAAAGAAAGACAAATGCTGTGATTGATGCCTATTTGATGACTCTCAAAATGATTACATGTACAGAAGTCGGGAACTTAATGCTGTAAACTTGTCTGGAGGCACCTTTAAGATTGAACGAGTTCTAACAGTCGCTTCTTGTTAAAATGGTTATTAGCCCTGTATGGGCCATTGAATAATGTTTGCGTAATCATAAGAAGTATGGTGATATAATGTAAAGGAAAGCAAGCGCCCTAAACTATATGTTTATTTCTTTCTCGAATTCTCCTGTGAGAATAGTTTGGCAAGTTAATGAATCATTCATCAAAGGAAGAGGGGAATAAATAAACTTGTGAAACCCCTTAAATGGGCCTCAGATTGTATTATGAACTTTGGATATCTACTTGTAAGCTTTATCTTCCTTGCCTTTTTTGGGAGGGAGGGAGAGAGATAACTTCGTTTCAGGTTTTTTAGCCCCGCCGACCCAGTAACCGTGAATTTTTTGCTTTCATGAACATAATGTGACCAGTAGAAGCCAATAGTTGAAGGTTGCAGCGCATCTTTGATGAAAGATACATTTTCTATTTTAGTTTCTTTGTTTAATGTTATTTCTTGCTCTGAGTGACTGAGTCCAAGGCAAAAAATTTGACAAAAAAATGGACTGTTATGTAGTGCCCAGTCCAAGGCAAAAATGCGTTCTTCACTTAGACGTGTTTGGGGACAGCGTTTAAAATGGAAACGGTTAAGGGAGAAATTATTTCTGTCATGGGTTGAAAGCATAGCAGAGGCGGCTAAGAAAGGTGGTAGCGGACAGCAAGAGCTCTGTTGGGATAGCTATGAGAAGATAAAGCAAAAATTACATCTCCAAGAGCTTCAGCGGGCTGCTGAGAAGAAAAAGGAAAAGGCAAAGGAGAGGGCAAAGAAAAGAGCAATGACAGCAGAACAGGTTAAAGAAAAAAATATGGCAAGGATTACTCGTGAGAGGAGAAAAGATGGAGAAGTCTATGAAGACACTGAAGAGTTGACAGTTCTTCAAGGGCGGAATTGTAAGCAGAGATGAATGAAGGTAATTGCTCAGTAGCCAAGACAATACTAAATGGGTGGTGCTAGAGGCAACAACA